CGAGTCTCTGTATTCCAAAGCTCTGAATGTGATATTGTTAAATCTACCTTGTATGTTTTTTTTTCTAGACTTGACTATTCCAATTCAATATTTTGCCTCTTGGGAAATGAATTATTATAATTATCATTATTTACTTCATCACCTTTATTGATCGGTATGGTGGAAAAGGTGGAAGCTTATTATGTGACCTATTTGACGATGTTGCTGGGGTGGGGCTGGATCTGATTTACGGACAGCAAGCTCGTGTTCATAGGCTCTGTTGAAAATTTTTCTATTGGTCTGGCTGATGTAACTTCTGGAGAGAGAGAGATAGACAAAGAGAGACAGATATTTTATTCATATTTATAACAATGAAATCAAAACAAAGCTGACTGGAGCTGCTTAGAAAAGCGTACTTAGAGTAGGATGAACTGTTGCGAATTTTCCCTCAAATCCTTGTGGAAATTTTCCGAAATTTATTTGATATTATGTATTCAAGTCGTGAAGAGAGCATGAACAATCAGGAATTCAGTAAGCAACTTTTTTGAAATAAATAATTTTCAAGCCAGGAGGAATATTCTGTTGTACCTCTTGAGATGATGACTGGCTTGATTCTATTTTCGAGGACTTATCAGATTACCATATAGTAACACTTCTAGTTCATTACCAATGATGGATTAACTTTAAGTAACGACTTGCAACACCATTAGGAGTTTTTGTGAACCGAGAATATCGATTTATACCATCGCTAGAGTTCATATGATTTTAACTAAACTATAGTTTAGTTAAAATTAGTTAGGCACTAAATTCTCAGAAATGACTCTGACGTTTTGCCTTAATCTTTCTCTTGCAGTGGCGTACGAAAATGATACTAAACAGATGAGAAAAAATTGATTTCAAGTGTATTGCTGGTATTTAAAAACTATATTTTTAAATAATTATTGAATTATATTAATTATCTAAAACAATATACAGTGTGTCTACGGATGGAATTGCTAAGAGGAGAAAAATCTTCATTATTGATTTTATGACAGAAAGTCATTCTTATAAAAAAAGTGCATCTTTTGGAAATGAGTTTGACACAAAAAATCTGAGATCAGATGTACAGGGTGTTAGTAAAATAATAAAAAGTAAATATGTTTCATGAGAAAAGTAGGTACCATTACAATTTTATACGAAGTTTTCTAAAATGATGAATGATGTTTATAACCTGCATGAGTTCGAATTTTCAGAGCAAAATTCCAATTTTTATATTTAGAATATTTATATGGTTTTTGCTATTATTTGTAGCATCTCAAAAAATCAAGAAAGTTGTTTTAGCGAAAGTTCACATCTAAATCATGTAAAATTGATCCTAAGTGGTCTATCTTGATTTTTTTGTGAAATTCTGTGAATAATCGCAATAAGAAATAATCACATGAACCACTACCAACTGCAAAAAGTTAAAAATTACTTACAGTATCGTATTATACATTATCGTCTGAAAAAAACTCGTTGGATGATGAACAACTATCGCGATCGGTATCATTCAAGGTAATAATCAATGGTCAATTGCAATTTCCATTCTAGTGTCGATATCCCAATTTTTGCCTTCTTTTTTTATTGTATGTCTAATGCATTTTTCCTCAACTCGGGTGTGGCATTTTCTACTGCAGTAGCTAAGAGGCCTTTTATTTTGAAAGTAAAAGTTTCACGTTTTTCAAAATCTCTTCCTCTAAACTCATGCATCAATTGCATGTGGTAAGGATGAAATTTGCTTGCTCGTATCACGTAGTAACAACAAAAATATTCGATGCTCGCTGCATCACGATGTTATCTTACAATGATCTTCATTGATCAATGAAAATACAATTTTTATAGTGATTCATGTATCCGAAACAAAAATGTATATCCATATAATGCGAAACCTCGAAGTCATGAAAAAATAACTATTATTTGTTTGCGAAACATGGATTTGAACGGTTACTCCGAGTACTAGTTTCCAGTTTTAATCTTACTATTTGAATATGATCACTTGGTGATCGGAACACGTGTCGAGGTGTTGAAAATAACGATTTGGTGTTGGGAAAAACTCCAGTAATATTCATTACTACACCAAAGGTTCCAAACAGTGCATCATAAGTAGAATATTTATAATGATGCCTACTCTATCGATAGCAGTAAATTTATGATTGCACGAATATTCAACTAGGAGTAAAACAAAATATACTTTATTTATATGATACAAAATAGGAAAGTTTGACGAATTATTGAGGAGAAGTGGCGAGTCTGATGAAAACACTTTTTCAGTACACCGCAACTGTTGGGAATTTTCCATTATCCTTATCTTGATTCCTAACACAGTTTGTTAGCTTTCATTATGTATACCTACATGAAATAATATGCGCTAATGCCAATATTGAATAAACAATGTTATATTGGAGTTTATATCGATATATCTGGATCAGAAAAATATTTCATATGAAATTAATAAACAATGGATGTTATAAGTCAGCAAGACTTATTGATATTGACTCATTGATATTTCATATCAAATGCTACTTCATGACTGAATTTCGAATGTTTTTCTTAACTAGAAATGTGATACGGAAATTCAATGGTGATTTGAAAATAAATATCCCCAATCAACCATCAGTAATAAGTATTATTTTGTTATCTTGAAACACTATACACATTTGAATTTGTATAAATTTGGAACCTTGGTTCACAAAATTAGTTTGTGACAGTTGGATTTCATTATCGAAAAAGAATTATTAGCCTTTTTATTTTATACTGTTTTTTGGGTATACTCGTATAACTTTTCACGATCTGACAAAATAAAAATTTGATCAAAAAAAATCTACCAAAATCTAGTAAGGAACAAACTGACAAGTTCATCCCGAAAAGAAATTAGAACTATGACAGTTTGAGGCAAGATTTTTATAGCGAATACAAGTTTCGGAAACGAAAAAGGATGGTTTTCCGAAACGTAAAGAAAACAAAACTAAGTATCAATATTTAATGTTACGACAAGTAAGTAATTGAATGGACTTTCCAGTAGTTTATATTACGTAATAACTTTTTGGGGTGAACTTTTCAGTTTGCCCTACATTTCAGTAGATTCAGCTTTCATTTTTTCAGATTGAAGCCCCATAAAACAGCATAAAATATTGGGTCCTCCACGAAAAAATGTCATTTGAAGAATTATTGGTTCTCAAAGGAGATTGAAACTTCACACAAAAAACACGTAAATTTAGCAGAAACAGGCTGGAAAGATCGCTCCAGTTGGAGTCGATAAGATAAAGAGTAATATCATGATTTGTACTACATGGACAAGAGTTACTGTATCATTTACGAATCGGTTTCAAATATTAATCACATCATGACCCAACAAAATATGAATCTGTTAATACCTATATACCTACTATTTGTTTGTGAGGTTCAGTTGTTCCTGATAAGTATATAACAACGTTCTGAACAATTTAGGTTCTTTCGAATGAAAAATAGTAATTTTTCACTTCCAAAATGAATTTGGCACTATACATATGGATCATGAATATATGAAAGTCACTTCAGAAACTTTTCCTGAAACAATTTGTATTCATCAAATATTTTTTCAAAAGTTACGAAGCATATTAATTATGCGACTTGACCAAAAGCCATTGATTGTGTATCACATGCCATAGGTACTCCTTGGGAAATTGAGTCGTTATGGTTTGGGAGGGACCGTTTTGAGTTTCCGTAACTCCTATCTCAAAAACAGGTATCAATGTGTGGATCTTGATAATGTCGAATCCGACATTAAACGGATACAGCAGGGTTCGGTACTTCAACCATTTTTATTCATTGTGTACATAAACGACTTATGTCAAAATGTTGATGACACCACTCTTGTGAAATAAGATGAGCCACATATCGATTTGGTTTGAACTGTTGACGAAAAAAAGACTTAGTCAAAAATTTGTTCACACGGTATAATCAACGACGATTGGTTGAATTGGTCCAGCCACGTATATTATGTATTTCTTAAGCTCTCTAGAGTACTAGTCATTCCAAGACAACCCAAACCAGTAACCAATCTAAACATATTGAATTTCATTCTATGCTACATGATAATTTACTTTGGGGCAACTCAATAATGGTATTCAGATATCAGAAAAAAGCCAGTCGTATTTTAGCAAATGTATCACTGTTAGCAACACTTTATATTCAGCTTGGTATTATGCCGGTGTCTTCATTATACATCTACATCGTTTTGTTAGAGGTCCAAATGAACATAAAAAATTTGAGAGACACTTTGATATACATCAATATGACACAATATCTGCAGGTCGGTTAAATCCCCAAAACGACACAGACTGAAAACATTGGAATTTAATGTCAAAACAGTCACCAAAAAATTCACCTCGAGAAATGACAATGTAATGGAATATTTGGAAACAAGCAAGTTTATGAAAATACCCCTAATAAATTCTCTTTTTGCATCAAATGACTATTTGGTCAGCCAATAATTATTTTTAAATAATATTTTCAATGTTTTATGTGTTTAACATTTCATCTTCATTGCAATATTTTTTTCGAATACTGTGACCTGCCATAAATGTAATATGGTTGAATAAAACTATATCTACTCTGCTCTATGCCCGTGTAACGTATTCTTAATATATGATAATGCTACTATTGAAAAAGAAAAAGGTGACGTTACAGATAATACTGACTGCTACCGGTTACCGCATGGGCATGTTTTAACTCCAAATAATTCTTAAGAAAAGTACTTACCCTCAAAACTTTCGAGAAACTAAAAGAAAAGGTGAAAGAGAAAGTTTGGTGTATGAACTACCCATTACATGGATCAAATTGATATTTCTGCACAACAATCTGGATGTTAAATGTTAAATTTGGCAAAAAATAAAACTCTGAAAATTAGGGGAATGTAGTGACAACATCAAGAATAGCAAACACATTAGCTCATCCTTCCAATTCGGAAGATAAATCGTCTCTTGTCTTATACTTGACTTCAACTAATTAATTATCCATTTCAGGATGAAGGATGGAAACTCAACAGAACAAATTACTATCAGGAGGGATGGCTCGCTACAAGCAATGTCAGAGGTATAGTGGGAGTGACCTTCACAACCAGCCATTGTAAGAAAAACGTAGACTACCCTCTTCGCACAAATTACAACTTGAGGGGCCACAGATCGGAGGTAGTTTATAATCTGCAGATTTCCCATCCTATTTAGTCTTTATACTGAGTGAGATGAATTGGGCGCAAGGGTGTATGTCTGTATACGTAATCTCGATAGTCTCTCTAATCAACCCCAATAGATCCCTCGAGAATGAGTCCTAGTCAAAATTTATTAGTTTATAATTTGTTAGGGGAGAACTCAGTATCTGAGTGAACCAATTTGAAACAAGACTGTCACTTGGGTGGATGACTGGTTTTTGTGTGAAATTCCGATGCAACGTCTTAGCCCTTGCTAGGAATCGCATGTTAAAAAAATGTGAAAACTTTCATGAGTTGCCTTCATGGAAGGACAATGCTTGGAAAACTCCAATTCAACTCCAATAATAACAGATAAAATATTACAATTTTTTACTTCAACAAAAAATATCCAATTTTTTTGATCCACAAATACATTGTCTGTCACCCAATGAGAAATATATTGTGTGATATCTCAGATTGAAATTAAACGGTTGTAACTATTCCCAACTATATAGTTGATAATGAAATCTACACTTTGAATCATTGGGACAATTTTCGAAATATTTTTGGTCTTTCATTCATAATTTTCTTGAATAACCATTTTCATCTTTCGAAAGGAAATTATACTAAGAAAACTTCCTAATTATGAAGGCAAGTATAATGAATGCAAATATATTCATTCATAGAAAATCGAGTAGTATGCTGTAAAATATATGTTTTCATAATAGTTCAGTTGCTTTTGAGTATTTCCGGGTAATGTTGATCAAATATTACACTACAGATTTGTAGCTGCTGACGGTTTTGTGAATTGTAAAACTATCCCTTTGGAAATTGGATTCGAAGGGCGGCATTCGGATTGCAATATTTTTCAACACCAAGTATAGATATCGACCATCTTAAACAAAAAACTAGAGATGCATATATTAGTATCACACCTAATGTGCTAGAAAATTGTCACAGAAATTGTCTGGACCGACAAGTTATGTGCATTCAACAAAGAGGTCGTCAATTCGAGCATTTAATATAGATTGCCATGTAACTTTCATTTTCTTTATTGTGGTTATTCCAAATGAAACGCTATATAAATATCAAATGTGATATACCCTTGGATTGTGAATTTACCGCTTTATCAATATCTGTAATGAAAATGAGAGGTCCGTATTTGAAAAAAAGTCGATGGTAGACATGTTGACACGAAACGTTTCATCAAATATTTATCATTACATCGTCATAGTACACTTCGAATATAATAACATTTTCCTTTTCCATTTTTTTATATTCTCCGAAATAATAATTTCATTCGAAACTCGAGAAGGGCGAGAGTCACCGTAAATTTTCAGCGACCTTTGTATTGTTCTTGATGACAGTTACCTTTCTCTCATTTTATCGTCTTCTTATCTGTTATGGTTTAGAATAAAGCAATGTTATCACTATCACAACTAATTTATTTACACCACTCAGTAACTAATGCTTAATTTATCTTCACCGTTTGTTAACCGCTCGATTCGCTTTCTTGGTACAGACTACTCTTCGGGACGATTAGCGACCTTTTTTATATCGTCAACGAACGTTCCGGATCCCTCTGCGGATTTCGGGACTCATCCGCATCCTTCCCGCTCTTTCGCGGTATTTCATGGTGCGTCATGCGTCGGTCAGGGCCGGCTTCAGATTCATTACAATATATAGGTGTTCATTTACAGGTATAGCGCTTCTCGACTGGAACCTTGTATGTGTAAAAAATCATCTCATTTCTGATTTACACTAAAAATATCTGAATGCTTTGACTTCCATCGCAATTATGTACGCAGTCTGTTTAAAAAAATTTGTGAATTTTAATTTTTCTCAAAAAATATTTATTTATCCATCAATTTCTATTTTGTTCCCTTCAGAGTCGTTCCCCTCAGATATATTTCACTTGTGCCAGCGTTTCCTCCAATCCTTGATGCAGTTCTGATATGCACTTTTTCGCATGTCCTTGAGCTCTCTCAGCGATTCGGTTTTTATCTCCTCAATCGTCGCTATCCTTTCATGGGTCTCTTCAATTTTTGGAACAGAAAAAATCCGCAGAGGGTCAGATCTGGTGAATACGGTGTATGAGGCATAATTGCTGGTATTTTTTCAGGCAAAAATTACGAACAAGCAATGACGAGTGAGTAGGTGCCTTATCGCGATGCTGAAGCCATCAACTGTTTTTCCACAATACCGTATTGCTTCGTATTGCTTCTCGCAAGCGGCGCATGTAGCAAGAACTCCTGATGCACTACGCCACGGTAATTGAAAAAACAGTGAGCAGAACCTTCACATTTGATCGAAATTGTGCTTTTTTTTTTTGGTCTCAGCCCTCCAGGGCTCTTCAATTGTGACGATTGGATTTTGATTTCGATGTCATAACCACATATCCATGATTCGTCACCAGTTATGACGCAATTTAGCAATTTTGGAACGAATTTCGCTGCCACTCGCTTCTTGTCCAAACGTTTCGAAACAATTGCTTGGCATGAGCCGACATCCTCAGCTACTTCTTTAATAGTGATTCGTTGATTCTTCATTGAAATTTCCTTCATATTCATCAGTCATTGATGTGCTAGAGCGTCCAGGGCGAACGTCATCATTCACATCTGGACCTTCTATGAAAGGTTTGTACCAATTGTAAATATTTTTTTGATTCAGAGTACCATCACCGTATGCCACTGTCATCATTTCAGATATTTTTGAGCACTCAATTTCATTTTCGCACAAAAATTGATGCAAATTCTTTGTTCCATTCTTTTCAATACTAGAAAATGGCCGAACACGCAAAACACTAACTTTTATACCTCTCACTCACAAACTGAACATGATATTCAACAATGAATCGCCATTTTTAATTCCATTCGAACTCGATTTTACAGAAAACCACGTTAAATTGTTGTAATTGCGATTGATACAGGGACAGTTTGAATCTTTAATCTTGAAGTCGTTTGTTTCTGTGGTCCAATTCGGAATGACCGTATTCATTCGTTGAACGCTAAACAACATTTACCAATAACGCACCTGAGTAAATGCGATTTGATTAATTTTGAAGTGGCCGTTTGTAACAGTTTCATCTGCAGAAAACTAATTACATCAATATCAAAGAAAAGTGAGTAACCCAGCTGTTTGAATGTTCCGCTAGATAATGAATAAACAACCGAAACAAAGAAAATTTTTGAAAATGCGGCTTTAATTTTGGAACTGATAAGAGGTTATATATCTTTACACACTGCACTTTACAACCAGCTGAGAGAAATATTTGGAAAGAAAATATGTATTATTGCATAACATCTGAGTTTGAGCGATCCAGAAGTGGAAACTATGTATGAGAAAATAAATATTTCGACATAAAATTTAGGAATATTAATCTCTCCCAACTACCTACACAGTAGACTCTAGTAAATGTCTGTCGGAAAACAACTTTTCCCCTAGCTAATACCACGCTGGCCTCTGTCTTTTCATAAAAATGGCATCCTGTCTTTTTTCATTCGGCAAACAGTTTTTGAGTAGAAAATAAAATTGCACGAATGATTTTTCTTAGAATCATCCAAGGATTATTATGAAACATCCTATATATTTGAGTAATAAGGACTTCAAAATTTGTAATTTCCTAAAACTTTTTCTACAGTTGGTGTTTGTGTTCCCATATTCATAAAAACTTTCACGATTTCATTGAATTTGACAAGTTTCTGATGAATAGTACTTTTTTTTGTGAAAAATACTTGAAGTAACGAAGTAATGGACTGGGATGAACTAACTGGAAAGTTTGATCTTTATATACCTATATAAAGTTCTCCAATTTCTATTGTTTTCAAACCGTGAAAGGTGAAAATCCTCAGGAGAATCGTTAAAAAACGAAAATGACTTTTGTTCAACATCATTATTCAATGATTGAACAATGAAAAGAACCATGAACTAGTATTGAAGAAGTTTGAGAATTATAACAAATTCATGTTCAGTATCAAGGTATGATCATCTTTTCTTCAGTGTGCTATAGAAGCTCTAGGGAAATCTCAAGTATGTAACCATTTGTGAAATAAATTTCGATGTGAAAATGCCTACATTCTGTTTCGTTCTCGACTCCTGGATGGAAATGGAAAATTTGTTTCTGTTTCCTCCAATGTCTGCGAACGGAAATTGGCAATCTGCCCTAATAGGCACATTGGAATTGCAATTAACTCTGGTAATAGTTACAACTGATTGACACTGCCTGTTTTCGATTCTCGCAGACGCAATCGATACACTACATAGTAGTGAAAATGTTTGAACATATTATCATGATCATTCCAATGAATACGCTACAGTAAACATTCTGATTGATAATTTTCATTATGCATATATGCATAATGCACATTCAACAATTTTCATCATCAAAATATTTTCAAACAAAAAAATTTTCGTTCTTGTCTGATCAAAATTGCAATGAATTTGAGAGAATTATATGAGCGATGTTTCTTTTTTTGCAATAAAGACATAGTAATTCTTGAAGGATATTGAGGTGAATTGTTACGTAATTTTACAAAAAAGATTGCTGTTTGAATATTCCAGTGCTCATCAGGAAATTTCAAAAATTGATTTACTTTGGGTATATTATTATCTTAGTCAAGTTGAAATGTTCTGTGGGGTCAACTCAAAAAACTGAAATTTGGGATAATGAAATTAATGTATGAATACTTTATTTTGAAGTGAAATTGACAGATGAAACTGGGCGTCATCTTTGGAAAAAATTAAATGGAAAGGGGGGTCTTGTGCACATCTCTTTGAAGCTCCTGACAAATGCTTCACAACTCTAATAGCAGGGGAGCCCACGATGCAAAATGGGGATTTACTCGAGCGTCATAGAGACCTATTAGGTTGCAAAGCTTGGATGATAAGAAGGAAAAAATGTTATATGATATATACCTTTTCATCGGTGGGGGAAGCTGCTATAGATTATTAAATATGTAAAAAAACTGTTGCATGGACATACTCGAGCGCGTCAGATATTGATACCATCAATTAAAAAACATAGAAAGTTTCATTTCTCTTTCCTTCATTATGATTTCCTACCACGTAGTAACGGCTACATCCATCAATTAATTGATTAATTAATCATCATATTCATCGTCATCACGAACAAGTCTCTGTGATCAGCTGTGATGGCGTCATGGCAATAGAATTCAGAGTGGGAACGGAGTGAGAGAGTAATAGATAGAGAGGAAGTGAAAAAGGAATAGAAACGCGGAGAGGGAAATATAGGCATCACGCAGCTGCACGCATTAAACTTTCTCGACGAATTTTTAATATTTCGGCTTGCGGAAATCGTCAGATTATATATATTTCGATATCCTTGAATTATTTTCTTCAAAATAAAAATAAAAAAATCAACTACGTTCGAGAATGTCGAGATGACGTTTTTTTTACAACTTTGCTGACTTCCCCTTTCTTTACGTCACTCTCAAATTGTCAGATTACTGGAATATACACTTTTTAGCATGTAATTAACTCATCCCACCTTATTCTGACGCGCTCGAGAATTTCTGATGATCAATATTTTTTTTACTAATCTGATCCTTTATCCTTCACAGGCGGCCTTATATATGGGATCATATTTGGTGAAGGTACTTAATCGGGTACAAGGTATCCCCCTGTATATTAATCTGCCGCGCTTCAGTAAATCACGAAATTCTCGCTTGGGCTCCCCTATTATAAAATATAATGTCAATATCTTCAACTACTACAACATCAGAAGACACATACACATCATTTCTTCTTCAGGTAGAGTTAGATTCGTTTGGGGAAAAGGTCATGCGGGAATAATGGGCATTGAGTTGGTCGATCGCGCAGCTAAAGAAGCTACCCACTTAAGTGAAAATGAAAATATATATACCTCTCTAGACTTAATAGCTAACTTAAAAAAAATTCAAAAAGACAAATGGCGAGATAATTGGCATAACTATACTATCAAATCTAATAATCCTTATACTCTGATTCACCCCATTCTTCCCAAGACGATTCCACATGTTGAATTATATACAGTACCAAAGTTTCATGCCGTCACAATAACACAACTCAAACTCAATCACGGAAGTTTTCCCGCACATTTATTTAGAATAGGCGCACACAACACTAGGTTATGTACATGTGATGATAACTTTGTAGCGGATTTGAACCATTTATTTTTTGCATGTAAAAACCATGTTCAAGAAACACAGAACCTACTGTCCACACTTACATCCCTCAATATCCAACTCCCAGTAAACATTACAAGCCTTCTAATTTTTCTATTTTAATAATACCTCATTTAACATTTAACTATATAATATGAGGTAATAAGCTTAAGGTCAGTTCAGAAGATGCTCGAAATGGTTGCCTTGAACTTCTTGACATATGAATAGGCTATCCGATATTTCACGCCGAACATTTTAGAACACAGTAACGTCAATATCTCTACAAATATTTATTATTCTCTGCCGTATATCCAATATTGAAGCAGGTTCAGTTTCGTACACCTTTTGCTTCGAATAGCCCCATAAAAAAAGTCAAGTTGTCAAATCTGGCGAGCAGGGTGGCCATTCTGTAGGACCTCGACGGCCAATCCAACGAACGGGAAAAGTAGTATCCAAATAGTTTCTTACTTGTCTGGAGTAATGTGTTGGTGCTCCATCTTGTTGGAAAACAATATCCATATCGAATTCAATAGGATTCGCTTCGAAGATTTCACTGAAGAGAGGGTCAACAGTAGTTTCCAGCATATTCAAATACAGTTCCCCTGTTGAATTTTGATCAATAAATAGAGGTTCTACAATATGGTTTCCCAATATTCCTAGCCGAACGTTAATTTTTTCTAGATATCGGGAATGTGTTTTCTGGAAAACGTGAGGGTTGGTGCCACTCCAATAACGGCAATTTTGTTTGTGAACATTGCCGTTTAAATACATTAATCACTAAAACAAATATTGTGGAGATAGGTAGGACGCCTTGCAATGGTTTCCGTCATGATTTCGCAGAATTCTGTTCTTCGAATAGGGTCATCTTCAGTTAATTGGTGTACCATTTTGATTTTGTATAAATGATACCTGTATGATGTTGTATGATGTTCCTCTTCAAAAGTCTTCATATAGTAGAAGGAGACACCTCACAAACATTCGCGACGGAATAAGTAGACATATAATATTGATTTCCAATTATCCGTAGAAACATCCAAACCCTTAAGTGCATCCACGTACTGTTTGTTCTATTACTACAGTGAGTTCTCGTCGATTATAATTATTTCTTTTCACAATCTGTGGTCTTTCACAATATGTTGATTATTGATAGCTGATTTTTATATTTTTTCTTTAGTATTTTGAGTGCAATTTCATTATAACGTTCAGTAAACTGCAAATCCTCAATGATATTTGGAGGTTCTTCTTTTATAATATACTTGAAATACATAAATTTTTGATAATAACATCCTGTCAATGACAATAAGAATAGTTTACAAATTGAACATCATTACATCTTTTGCAGTGATTTCACTTAGATATCTGATGTAATTCCGTTAGGACGCTTTTTCAAATTTGTAATAGACAAATTGTGTTTTGTGCTTTTATATAACGAAATTCCTTTTATTTAATTTTATGAATGAGCTTTTGAATTCAAAAATATTTGTTACAGTGTTCAACATTGTTCCTTCGAAAAATATTTCATTGATAACTACATTATCTTTAATACATTTTCTAGTACGAATCATGTAGCCTCAGGCAAAACTACTAAGTTTTACCAATGTATAGATTGATGAACTATTGGGTAACAGATTCCTTATGGGAAAGAAATATGCGAACTCTGAAATTCCATATATGGAAGGGTAGCAATCTTGATGAGCAGCGATAATGAAACAGATACATTTCTTTTCTTTATCGGTAAACGGATGAATGAGTGTGGATGCTCTTTCTTTGATAATTTTGTGAAAATATGTCTTGAAAGCTTTCAAATCCTGATTTTCAACGGATTCGACAGATCAATAATTGCACAAGGGGCGCGAAGGACCAAAATATTTTGTTTCGCAGACCTGCTAGATATCGTTAGAGAAATAATGAACCAAAGGAAGTGTTTTTTTATAAAATCTGGAGGATTTTCATTCAGTACTATTTCATTAGTGATAGTAGAATTGAGGGTTGAAATATCTTTTTTTAAATTTTCAAGTAATAGATTATTATCTGAATGGGAGACACCGCAGCTAGTTGGCACTACCGTTTTTTGCCACTATAAATTTAGAGCGCTTTCATCCTGATTACTAGCTTACATTTTATTACAGATACTTGGACACAAATTTAGTTCGCGGTTAAAGGGACCCCCATGCATACATTACATTCAGTAAAATCAAGAAAAATAAAATTAACTGATCACTAAAGTGAAAGCACCTAAAAGCTGACTTTCGGCCGCAGGAGGTCAAGAGGTCAATCTTGCTGAAGTGCCTATCAGAAGGTTGAGATCCGCTCAGGATGAGTGAAGATGGATGGATTTTAGCTTCTGCACACAGTAACCGTATGGGGAAGATTCTATCTCAGGAAATTCAACCCCGGAGGGGGGCATGGGGGCTCGATATTTGTGATGCACCATCCTTCGTTACTTCCTTCCATTTGGAAGCGTCACGAAGACGTGACACATTTTATTGTTTCTTGATTTGATGTTCTCGTAGATTTAATTGAGGTGTTGCTAATTGGCGATTTCGTTTAGGATGTACTGTCTCGTGTAGTTACCTATCTTGTTCAGAATATCCTTGTAGGCCTTGTATCATAGTTATGGCAACTTTACAAATATGAGTAGCCATAATAATGAGCAGAATATATTTTTATGACTCCGTTCAAGTATTCATTTTTTGAAAACGAAGGTACCTGAATTTCTGATTAAATAACATGTTTTCCTTCAAAAGATGTTTTGTTTTGACAAATCACCCTTGAGAGTATGTCGTCTAACCCTGCAAGGGGTTAATTGGCATATATTTGATTAAGGGGTCCTACCTAAGTCTATGCCAACTAGCCCTGGTTTCTCCAACAATTCAACTGTACAATTCAATTTGTTTTATTGAATATTTTCAAACCAGTTTGAAGTTGAATGGGAAATGATTCATTTATACAAAAATTTAATAAACATTGATTGTATTACTAATCTGATTGAATCACTTTTTCAGGTGATATTGGTAAGATGGAATGAACCTTATCAAAAATTAGCATCTTGTGACAGCTTCGGAATAATTTACATATGGATAAAATATGAAGGGCGTTGGTCAATCGAACTGATAAACGATAGAAACACTCCCGTGACACATTTTTCCTGGTCCCACGATGGTAGAATGGCACTAATTTGCTATCAGGTAATTGGTCATTCATCATGAAAGAACAACAAAAGAGTGATTAATAATTCGTTTGTGCGGCACTAGCATGAAATATTCAAATCATCATCAGTGGACTACAGAAAATGATTCTTGCCCTTCCTATATTAGGTAAAATGAATATTGAGGAAAAACGTTGTTTTGGTAAATATAACAATGTAACAAAAAGAGGTGGTGTTACTTAGATTTTTCTGTCAATTTTCACCGTTTTGAGAAATTTCGACGACATTGTCCCACATGAACACTATTACATTCCGGACACTTAAGCTTATAAACTCCCGATTTCTCCAACTTGTCCACTTTATCTTTGGCATTGAAAAGGAAATAAGATAACCTGGCATGTGGCATGTTGATTTCTGATAGTTTGATCTGGGGGTATATCAATCTGTAAGTGAATTTACGGCTTTGTTTTCTGACCATCTTCTGGATTGTATCTGCGTTGAAATCATCATTATGGCCTATCTGTGTAACTATTTTAATTTCCCTAGCTAGATTGTTAGCAGACAAAGGCCAGGTAAGCCTCAAAACGGTATGCTGAATATGAAAAGTTCTACAGACTAGGTAAAAATGATTAGACGTTTTCAAATCATTCCTTAGCATGCAACCATAAGTTCCCGAATCTAAACGATACGGAAATTTTTCACTATGCAAGGAAGGGTTGCAAACTCGATTATTTGGAATCCTTGGAAATTCATAAGCATGAACATTGCGGGTGCAACCTGTTAAATGATCAAATCGATCTGGTTTACTCACCGGTTTCCAAATTAACGTATCCACATTGTCACAAATAAACAAAATTTAGATACTCAATCATTTTGAGTTTGATGTATAAGTTTGAAAATGTTCTTATAGGACGAAACTGCAGTAACGTTAGTTACAAATAAAAGTGGTAAAAAACAGAAAGTTTCAATTATTTTTTCTTCATAATGATTTCTTACCACGTAGTAACAGCTACATTCATCAATTTAAAAAATGTTTGCCTATCAACTGAGAGAGGACGATGAAAGGTTTTTCACTTTTTTGTTCGAAAAAAGTTGACATAAAAAATGGTGAATACGATTGAGTCGATTTCTGAAGTTTCTGTTACGCAGTAACTAAAAGTAAGGCATTACTGCGTAATATAGCAATGAGCTTTACAATTTACTTAGCAATGGACTTTAGAATTAGACGTTTATTACATCTGCTTGGATTGTCATGAATTCATTGATTTTTCAAACTATGAAAAGATAACACAATCAGAAGAAAATAAAAACCGAGGCTTTCATGACCGAAGTTACGATTAGAAAGAATAAAATTTCTGCTGATATGCCAAATTGAATTTGTGGTACCAAAGGTTCGTCTAAAATTTCGACAGACATACTCAGTTGACAGAGCAAGGACGAAGGTAGAGGGAATACACTCTTTACCCGATCTGATCATAATGACCGGAAGAGTCAAAGAAACAAAGAATCTTTCACAAAAATATCTTTCGAAAATTATACAGTGCTTCCATAAAGTAACTCATGACTTCATTTCATCATCTAAATCAATAACACCGAGAATTCCCAAACAAAATCGATTTTTTATTTGAATTTAGTATTTTTGAATAAGAATCGAAAATACAACCTACCTGGTGGTGATTTCAATGAAATCACCACCAAATTTTTTGAGTGGAAAAATCTATTTGTTTTCAATATATGGAATTTCATTGGTGCACTGATTCAAAAATGTATTACCTACCAGTAGTTGTGTCAAATGGGCACTTGAGAGGGCAAAAGTATAAATAATCAAGAAATTATACTTAACTGTAAATTCAAAAAAATAATACATGAAGAATTCACGAAATAAAAATTATTGAAAGAGATAAGGTCATTATGCAGCTGCTGAATACAGTACTACGTAAACTACTGACACTTCAAAGTTTTCTCCTTTGACTGCTGTCCTACTCGAGTATAATGATATTTTGTAAGACAGCGGGTGTTATGTTTGGCATTTCTTGCCTGATCCGATCTTCTAGATCACGCTTATTGCTATTATCATTCACTACAGATTCTGAAGAAATCTATAGATAATTGTAATTGGCTGAGATCAGGTGATCTAGAGCGCCATTATACTGTATCCCTTCTTTTTATTCACCAATCTGAACAGGTTCTGCGTGAAATGATGCAATCCAGATTCAATGCTCCTGTCAAATTTTCATGAAGAATATGAAGTGATGATTGTATATGAATGATAATATAGGTAATTTTGTGAACTAACATGTCCATTCACATGAATTCTTGTTTTTTTAATCATTTGCGTTTTTCGCATACTCGTATAGTGAATTTTTTTGGTTGAAGTCGTCGACAGTCATTTCAAGAATGAGTCGTACTTCATGAGAATGTGCCTTAAAACGGGTGCCTTGAACAGGTGGAGTATCACTCATGGAGGTGAAAGTCCTTCTGAATGAATCATCATGCTGAAGTTGTATCCGTGTCGAAAGGATGTACAACTTTGAACCCAGTCAGTCATTAACGAGACCTTCGAGGTTCCAAACCCCCTCACATCATAGAAAGTCGTATCACGGAAATGCGAGGTTCTCCTGTGATGGACTTATATTCCCTCTACTCGTCCTTGAGCCTATTAGAGAAGATGAATGTCGACTAAATGATTTCAACTGTCCTCACTGTAACAATGCATCAAGAGCAAGAGTTTCTCAGTTCATCAACTCATGATACTACAAACCTAAGATGGTGCAGCCAGGAACGACTAATAGTCTCCTCAAGAGTAGTATATCTCATCAATCTGAATTGCATCAAATTCTTGAACAGCAGAAGCAGAATCTGCACGTGGAGAGAAAACACTGAATCAGAGTAGGCCACATAACACTTCCGCTTACACGATGATACATCCAAACTAGAGGCGAAAAATCCTTGCTTGGTTGAATCTAACGTATCGTCTGGTATAACTGACATACATAGAGTTGACATAAATGGTGCGGGCATCAAGATAGAAATCTTGCACCTTGAACACGTGACAATCTAAATATATACCTACCAATCAACACATTACCATAACGACTACCTTAAAAAAACTCAGGAGAATCAATTAGAACTACAGCCATAGAAGGACGCCTCCCTGATATGCATCCTGAGACATACATTTGTGTTGTATATCTACCTGACGGAAGTCGTTTCAGACAGATTAAGGAAAATATCCCATGGTCAGTCAACCTCAAAGTGAACTTAACTGTTTTGAATATTCAATACTGTAGACTTTGTGATATTCAAATACCAAGAAAGTATCTGCACCATACCAAAGGGAACTTTCTAGAACTGTATTTTCAACAACTGTAGATCTACGTTGCTTCGATTCATCCCCCAATCAGTCATGTGCTCTAATTCTTTGTATTTTTGTTCCATTTTGCTTACAGTAGATGTGAATTAGGTTAACGATCCCAGTGCATTTTATATAAAAATCCGCTTATCTCTTGCTGAGTTCGCATCATATCGTCCATACCAATCATAATTAAAATTCCTTTTTCCTCCCTTTCAGATAGAGGCCTCTCTAACCATGCATGACTTCTTAAATCGTTTTATTGAAGTAAATGTATGGACCATACAGTGGGTGCATTTCAGTTCAAACGAGCTACCCTAAATGAGTCATTCAATATTGAGACTAACACCTCAATATCAGTTTTTAGAGGCACATATTTCTACCCACCCATATATCAAATATTTCAAATGAAAATAATAGTCGAGTGACATCTCATTCAAAAGATCTTTCACTTCAATTCTGCATAATTTTTGACATTACAACGACAAGTAATTTCAAGAAGAAATGAAATACTTTCTTGAGTTCTTATTCGATTCTAAACTAAGTTAACCTGAACAAACAATATCCCTATTTTGAATGTTGAAACTGAGCACTGTTGAGAATGAAAATAATATAAATTTGAACTTTGAACAAATAATATATTCCTGTTATGCACTGTCTGGAACCTTTGGTGTAGTAATGAATCACCAAACACCAAACCGGTTTTTCGATAACTTAATTTCATTTTCTACATAAAATTTTATGCACAATTTTTATCCATTTTTTCAATACTAGAAAATCGCAAAATACTTCTAACTACTCATTAGTTCGGATTTCCATTTTATAATATGATATAAATTGATTTGAAATACCTGAAAGAATCTGTGAAAAATAAAAAAAGGTTAGCTGCAAAATAACATTTATATAAAGCAAAAAAACCTGAAATAACAATGAAATAAAATACAAGCAACAACCATAAAATCAAGAGAGTGAACTATTAATACGAGATAAAAATTACAAAATCATTAACAAGAAATGGAAATTAAAAATTAAAAGATTCCAAATCCAGTTACTTCACTACCTAGAAAACAACAAGAGCTCCACAAGGAAGAGAAGCGACACAACCAGGACTTGTAGTTTCCTACATCAGAGGATTTTCGGAAAGGATAAAAAGGATTGAGTCCAAGTATAATATCAGAACCTGCTTCAGATCTGGTAACACTATCCGTAGCAGCCTCACAAATACCAGGCCACCAAACGCGGACTGCGATTCCAAGAATTGCATTTACTGGTTACCCTGAGAGTGCGGAGAATCATAAATCGGTGAAACTAAGAGGCCATTGAAAGTTCGCATTGCCGAGCATAGGAAACACACACATGTAGGAGAAACCAGCAAATCAGGACTAGCAGAGCACGTTTGGACTCATCAGCATAACATCAAGTGGGCTTAAGCTGTAATCATCCACAAGAATGAACACTGGTTTAGGAGAAAGGTCAAAGAAGCCGCATATATGCTGTCTAACAACGCATTTAGCTAAGCTAGCGTAGAGATACGTGACATATGGAAACCTCTAATAAAGCGCAACACGACCAACTTCCGACAAACAGTCAGCTTCCGCTAAAACCGATGAAGCGGAGAGGGGGAAGAGGTGATAGATGAAAGCACTCGAATGACCTATAATCGAAACGTAGTGGAGTAACTTGGTTTTGGAATCTTTTAATTTTAAATTTTCATTTCTTGTTGATAATTTTTTAATTTTCATCTCGTGTTAATAGATTTTTTTGATTTTTTGGTTGTTGCTTGTATTTTATTTGCATGTGATTTCATTTTTTTTTGCTTGATATAATTGTTATTTTCTCAGCTAATCTTTTTAATTTTTATAGATTTTTTCAGGGATTTCAAATCAATTTATATCATATCAGACAATGGAAGTCCGAACTAATGAAATGCACCACGAAACCATGTCAACTACCTTCAAACAAACTTCTAACTTTTATGCCTTTCACCATCAAACTGAATATTCTGAATAGCTGAAACTGTGAACATATGTTCGAAACGAAGGCTCCCAAAAAAAATTGCTAATCGAATGTACATAGCCACCTTATTTTTTCAATACTTCACGTATGTTGTAGGATTTTTCATTAGAAGGTACTCTGTATCTCAATCTTCCAAGTTTGGTTTTCACTCTTTGATATCAATCAAAATTTCCATCTGTAACATACAATTGCAATTTTTGAAGAAATCTTTGAAACTCTCAGTACGTTTTTTATTCATAGCATTTATTTTCCAATATTAATTTGAATTAATTGCTCAGGAATTTAACTGATAATAAGTTGATATCAACCAAGTAAGCAAAGTGCATATCAATAGAAAAATATAATTCAAATTATTGTTCAACTTATCATAACCTTGATGACTTTGTAGGATGGCTACGTTCTAGTAGGTTCTGTAGCCGGACAAAGATATTGGTCGTCGATGTTGAATTTGGAATCTACGATAACATGTGGCATTTGGACTCCAGATGACCAACAAGTATATTTTGGAACTACTTCCGGTCAAATCATCGTTATGGATGTCCACGGTGCTATGGTTTCTCAAGTTCAGTTGAGTTCTGATATTGGGATCACATCTATGTCCTGGTCATGTGAAAAATTCAAAATGGAGGAAGGTGACGATAATGACAGTGGAGTTACAAATTCAGGTGAGAATAATTACTAAGAAGACGTACACCTACTGTATACTCATTATATGAGATTTCAGTTTCATTCTATTCTATTGATTTTGTATAATGATATGTTCAATATTCAAGTAATGGAGTAATAATAACGAATAAAGAAACGAATGTATAGTGATACACGTTTTGTGAAAATCTCACAAAAAGGTGTTGATTGAATATGTATATACCGTGATGTATACCGGCATTATATGCCGGTATACATCACGGAAACTTTGTAGAAAACATATTATTCCACTGTTCAGAAAAGTGGCTATTAGTTTTGAAAGAGTAATGGCTTCATTTATGACTCATAACAGTAATATTTTGGAATTGAATTTATTCATGAAATCCCGATTGAGGACAATACCATAGAAGTCTATAACAAGAATACATCTAAAAAAGAATTCAAAAATATATCTAAGAAATTTAAAAAGGAAGTGTCATGGATAAGACTTGACCTGGGTACTTGGTACCTAACCTAACCTAACCCAACCTAACCTAATCTAAAACTGGGTACTCGGAGAAAGTATGTCGATTTCTAAAAACTCTCATTTTGTTATTAAGTTGGGAACTTTGGAAAATTATCAATGCATTCAACACATTACAAATTTCAGATGGGTTATACTAATTTTCAGTTCCCGGGTTCATGTTTTTATTACTGTTTATCATTAGGAACTATATATTCTAAAACGAATTGTCAGTTCATGAGTAAGTTTGACGTATGGGAACATAATTCGAAGTAGGAAATCGTCAAGCCTAATTTGCGATTGAAAATAATGGAAACACAACTGCTAAGTTATAAATTGGCTCGTCTGTAATTGCAAGATAGTGAGATAAATGTGATCAACTGTGATCGGTTCGGAGATGTCAGTAATAAATCATTTTGCCTACTTACCTATCAAGAACCGTTTACATAATTGACGCGTTTTTTCAATGATCATATAAAATAATATATGATCCAACGATCGAGAAGTATGACCATCACAAGTAAAATACTATACTTTCTCTCTGACATATCAGAAATATTTCAAAATTAAATGTTTTTCTGGTGGATATTCCAGATGAAAATAATATCAATGAATGTCATAACAAAAACATAAAAAGAAAAGCATTCTAAGATATTATGGAAGAATTGAAAAAGTGATATTCAAATTGCTCCACAAATATCCTCAATTGAAAGCAGTCTTCTGATACGTTTTCTAGATTTGTACAAATAGGTATCATCAGTATAATTTTACTACTACTCTGAATATTGTATATAAGGCAAATATAGATCCTTGGGGTACCCATCATACGTATGAGCCCCAATAATATGCATTCTTTTGTCGATAAATACACCAAGCTTTCTATCACTTGAATCTTGTTCGAATAAAAACACAGATTTTTCATTGAGACCGATAAATTTGAGAATTGGATAATGTACCAATGAGCGATTCAGAATTACGAGTTAGGAATTTTTGATACAAGCTGTTAGATTATGAGTGGCGTTCAAAAGTGAAGTGCAGAGGCTATGACCAGATGGGAAGGCATAATAGAAATTTGTTTATAAGCAAAAACTTTTTTCAGGGGAGAGAAAATTTGTCTTGGCTGTCGCTCTTCGAAACGGCCTAATATTTTTGTTGTCCACATATGACGACGTCTCACCAATACAAATAAATACAGAACTTCAAGGACCATTATGTGTGGAATGGAGTAACTCAAGAGAATTCTTAGCTGTGGCCGGTGCTACTAATGAAACCTCTTCTCCAACGACACAGACGGAATATACCAACCTGTTGAAGTTTTATAATGAAAAGGGATTACTCTTGTATTCGACCGTCATACCAGACAAACAAGTGAGTGAATTGTAGGTACTGTAAAATTTTTAATGAAACAGAATCATTTAAATTATCGATATGTGTAGGATGCAGGTTCAAATCTTTTCTTCTTTGGTCAGTGAAATAACATTTCAGGTAGTTATCGCCATATTGGTTATATTTGCAATTTATCGGTTCAACTTCCCTGCTGGACGTCCATCATGTTGGAAGCATAAATTGTCACATTTTTGCAATATCTAAATACTCTTCCAAATAATTCTTTAGAAATTTCAAGTAACAATAACCTTTGAATATTATTTCATATTCTGCGGAAAATCTTTGTTTTTGGATTTTCATCTGACCACCATCGACTTTGAGGATGATAGAAGACCGTTTATGAAAGTGGTGTCGCCGCCCAATAAATCAAGTCGATGAAAATTATGCATTTCTTTTATTTCACCTAAAATCTCACTTCAAATCATTGGTTCACATCTACGAATATATTTTGGCAGTGTGATAAGTTGTAAATGATCCGAGATTCATACGCTTTAGGCAAGATATGCGTCAAGTGCTTGTGTTTCTGATCTGTTTTTTATGCCAAGTTATAGATTTTTCTCATTGTGAGCAACTTGACTCATGCAGTTGTCAGTGATTCACTTGTTTGGTCGTTGTAATGGGTGGGATATTAGGACATTCATGATAGCTCTCAAGCTTGTATCCAGTACCAAAACTGTAACCTTAACTATCGATTTGAAATATCTATCTATCATACTGAGAGATTCTAGATGAAGGAATCAAAATGCTGACCATTAACTCCAATATTGAAACTTAGGCGTCAAACTTCAAGTTTTGACTCAGATGGTCGGAAGAAGAGGAAAATATTCTATAGAGTGTAGTTTTTCCTTTGAGAAGACGGTACATACGAGTTAATTCAGTAACAGATATAGTTGCTGATCTCACTAGATGATATATTTTTAGGACGGACTTCTGCTGCCTTGACATCGATATAAACAATTTAACGATAAAATTAAAATCTTGTTAGGTTAGGTCAAAAGTGAGTGGGTCTATTCGACTCTCCACCGCAACCCCAAGGGTTTATTGTGGCTCACACCTATTCACACTCGACCAAATAAACCCAGCTTTTTAACGAAGCCGATTAGTTCGTATGGTGAGTGGTCTTTCAGGTCAGATAGTACGGGTATGGCTCTGCCAAACTCAAAACACTTGATTCGGTCCCCAGAGGGGCAGGTACAAAGTAAGTGCTCTGCTTTTTCATTATTTTCCAAACAAAAGCGATACACACTGTCTTTCGACAGTCGGAGTCGCTTTATATGATGATTCAATGACAGTGACCTGAGAGGCCTGTTAGACATCGTTATTGACAGTTGGTTATTGAAAAATTGATTATAACCAGTAGGTAAAACAATATCAATTTTCTCATAAAAGTGAAATTTATTCCTCTATAGAATATTTTATATGAAATTTGAAACACTTTTGATTTAGAAATATACTTTTTATTCATACTTGTATGTATATTCATTAGTACACTTGTCCTAAGGCTAGGGTGACAACGATCACATGGGGGCACAACGACAAGAGACTATTTTTGGCCACAGGAACCCAAATTCACATAGCCTGGATTTCAAAAAGGATAGCGTCTCTTCAACTTTTGTGTAGATTGAGGATACATGATTTGATACCAAAAGAAAATCAATTGTGTCTTCTACCTCTACCAGTTCGGCTGGGAAATATTATAGGAAACCTCTTTGCTCAAACCATCAGAGTGAGTATATAAAGAGTATTTGTTTTGCGATATTATCATAAGGTCTATTTATTTCTCACTTAAATGTTCACAACTGGACTAACAGACCGTAAGCTCATACAGAATTTCAGTTTTATGCCTCCAGTTGTAGGTGCATGTTAAATTTGAAAAAGTCAAACAATAACCCAAGTAGAAAAATAATCAACAGAAGTTCTTACACGGCTTTCATGAATATACTTAGTGATCATAACAGACGACCAAACGTCGTACAGAAAAATTGGAAGAGGAAATTGGGTTACATTTTCACTTTTGGAATAGTTACCTGTATATGCGGAGGTGAATAATTAATACAGTTCTGAACTGTTGTCCATTCGGTCATGCTGTACAAATCAGTTGGTTTATGAGGCAGCAGACGTGAATCAACCCCGAGAGAATACATGATTATGAATCATATTTCCAAAGTAGGGGGTTGATCATACGTTTAGTTTTCTATATATCTACGAATTTATACGGCATGACAAAATGAATGACCCACGAAAGCCGCAAAGATAGGTCATAAAATGATTTTCATTTTATGTCTACATTTTATTCTCTCAATCAGTTGTGTACGACATAAAGTTGAGAATAATTTTCTACTTCTGCTCTATGAAAGCTATACATTTTCAAGAGGTATCATATAACCTACAAAAAATTAAACATGGCTTGCAGTTTATAATTTCGATTTTGGAAAACAAAGTCCTTAAAGAAAGAAAAATATGAATTTAGAGGCTTGAAATTCTCCGAATTCAACTTTTGTAACATTTCATTAGTTCGGACTTCCATTGTCTAGTATGATATAAATTGATTAGAAATTCCTGAAAGAATCTGTCAAGACGATTGTGGATACTAACAATCGAAAAGTCGTGAAGTACCTTGGTTTGGAATCTTTCAATATTCAATTTTCATTTTATTTTTATTTTTTGGCTGTTGCTTGTATTTCATTTCATTGTAATTTCAGTTTTTTTGCTTAATATCATTGTTATTTTTCAGCTGATCTTCTTTTTAATTCTTTACAGATTCTTTCAGGGATTTCAAATCAATTTATATTATGTTAGAGAATGGAAGTCCGAACTAATGAAATGCACCACGAAACATTGTCAACCACCTTCAAACAAATTTTGTTACATTGTTCTGAATGTGGTTCAATGTAGAAAAATGTTTGTCATGAGAAGCAACTACAAGAATAATCACAACATGCCTGCAAGATACCATTTTCATTATTTCTTACTTTCATTCTTCTCTTCATTATTCAATACATGAACAACAAGTGATCCGTCACTAACACTTCCTTCTCTTACACCTGGAAAAAGTTAACCTTAACATAGTTATGATGAAGCAAAAAGATGAAATGAAATGACATTCATTGAGGCCAACTTTGTTTACCCCAATTTTTTTCATGAATCACGAGTCACTGTAGGATTGTCTTTAATAATTATTATCCTTTTTCGATTGATGACCTATTCATTTTGTAGAAATTCATATTGAATACAGAATAAAGAAAATAACTTTTGTCTAATTCCTACTAAGTTTATTTGTTACGACCGGTTGCGGTTTATTAGACCATTTTCAAGTGAGTTGAACACTGTGTTTGTCAAAATGAGATGTGAAGAGGAGAGTTTTCACATATTTTTCTCTTTTGGGTCCCTTCCGGTTTGACCAGAAATAGCTCCGGTTCTGAATTTTTAAATGGAACACCCTGTATATTGTAACATTTTTGGATTTCTGGAACAATTCTGGATCAGAATGTGACATTTCCGAAAGTTTTTACGCCCACTTAATTTTTCAGAGTCACTTTTGAAATTGCATCTAGGTAGCCATGATCGGACGTATAAACTATTCTAAGGACCTCAGGTCATATCAGAAAATTACAATCGCGGAGTTTCAGTGACTAGTATGTTGAATATGAATAAGACAATTGGTTAAATTACATTAATTACATTCATTACTAACTAATATTTTTCAAATGGCGATAATTATTTGACAAGCACTTTCCGAAAAACGAATTTTTTGACAAATCTAGCGATACTAATTTATTTGCGATTGGATTACAAATGGGAACATAAAGTAAATATTACTGAGGAAAATACCCGATAATAATTTGTTTACTTTTGTCTTATCCAACATACTGGTCACTAAAACTTCGCGATTGTGATTTTCTGATATCATCTGAGGTTCTCAGATTAGTTTACGTTCGATCATGGCTACCAAGATGCAATTTCAAGAGTGATTCTAAAAAAACAGAGTAGGTGTGAAAAATGTCAAAATTCACTCATTCTGATCCAGAATTTTCTCAGAAATCCAAAAAAAATAAAGGTTGTTCCATTTAGAAATTCAGAACTGGAGCCATTTCAAATGTCAAAAATCACTCATTCTGATCTAGAATTTTCTCAGAAATCCAAAAAAAATAAAGGTTGTTCCATTTAGAAATTCAGAACTGGAGCCATTTCCGGTAAAACCGGAAAAACCGGAAATGGCTCCAGTTCTACCTCATACCATTTACCTATACCAAATCTCATTTTCATACACCTAATAGTCTAGAAGTTATAACTTGTCTAATATAGATTCGTTGACACCCAATATACCACACAAAATTACACCGATTTTTGATTTTTTAGTGTTGTGTTCCCGAACCGAGCGCTTTGAGAGAATTTGTTTCGAGACCACCAGTCGGGTCAGTCCGTTTACATTGTACCATGATTCGACATGATGATGAGACTAATTTGTCTGCTGGAACCTGCTACACTCTCTACCTGGAATATCTTGGCGGTTTGGTTCCATTACTCAAAGGAAAACGGACTAGCAAAATAAGGCCCGAATTTGTTATATTCGATCCACAAGAGGGTAAGATCATGAAATGTGATATAAAATATCTTTACAATTTAAGCAAAAGAGGCGGAGTCAGAGTCACGTTTTTCGCATAAGCGTTTTGATCATAATTTCCACATATAATTAATTTGTTTCGAAAGTTTTGTCCATTTTTATTAGTCTACTTGAACTGTACTACCTCGGTGAATACTTCTTAAAATTTATTCTACATACAGGCCGTTTCATTTATCATGTGGTAACATTGTTATATTCTAAACTAGTCTTTCTCAAAGTGGGCGATAACGCCCCCTTGTGGGCGGTGGAGGCCTATAAGGGGGCCGTAAAGTGCACAGAGAAGATTGGGGGGCGTTGAAGCGGTTAAGGGGGGCGGTGGCTAATTTGAAAATGTGTTTTTGCTTTCAACACAAACTTTGCCGCTTTTTTACGCTTAACGCGCGTTTCCTCGTGTAACGCCATCTAGGGGACTAGACAGTAACTACCTCCTGTCCGATAGTTGTCAAACTGTACAATAGATGTGGGTAAGCTTTTATGCGAAGCGAGAAGTTTCTAGTCTCCATTCTCGAAAGTACTTGGCCTGCCCGCTGCCTCATATAAAAGCGCGTCATCCAGTCAGTAATGCAATTCGACAATATTATGAAAACAAGTGAATTGAGTTAGCGACTAGCTGAGTAAAGTGCTGTACGTGCGGTGATGAATACTGTGAGTGGTGTCATTAGCAAGTTTTCAATACTCGATTCTTTACTTTGGCATTTTTTAAGACAAAATTATGTCGGAAGCAAAAAAGAAGAAATAGCAGTATAGCGCGGAATATACAAAATATGTATTTATTGAAAATCTCAAAAATCCATCTTCGCCTATGCGCCTTCTTTGTCAAAAATCATTTCCGAATGAAGCGATGAAACCCTCAAGGCTACAAGATCATTTGAATAAAATGCATTCAGATAGAAATGACAAAAGTATGACTTATTTTCCAGAACTGGAAAAGAAACACTCAGCTCAGCCAACTGTGTAAAACCGGCAATAAAACAAGTAATCACTACTGTGCTCCATAAACCAGTGGCAGATATTATCCGAAAAATTCCTTTGAGCAATAGTTTCGTGCAAAGACGAATTGATGAGATGGCTAAAAAAATTGAAGAATCATTGTGCATTCATCTGAAGACTTCTAAATTCTCAATTCAGTTAGATGAGTCCACTTTACCAACCAATGAAGCATTGTTGTTGTCATACGTGAGGTTTATTGAAAATGAGAAAATATATCACGAACTACCTACTATTTGCCAGAAATTTAGAGACGGATACAAAAGGAGAAACCATATATAATGCACTGGAAAAATTTTGTGATGAGAAAGAAATTCAACTGAATAATATTATATCAGCTGCTACTAATGGCGCTCCGGCTACGACAGGAAGTCACAAAGGCTTTATAGCGTACCTACTTGAAAAATAAAATTCCAGATGTGCTCGCTGTACATTGCGTCATTCACAGGCAACATTTGCGAAAAATTTAAGTAAGCGCCTCTCTCAATCACTGCAATATATCATCAAAGTAGTCAATAAAATCCGAAACAGCTCTTTGAATGATAGATTATTTAATCAGCTTTGTGTTGCTGATGATGAAGATTTCAACCGATTGCTATTTCACACAGAAGTGCGTTGGTCATCAAGAGGTAATTGTTTGACTCGATTTTACAATCTATTTGACTCTGTAATATAGTTCTTGGAAAACAGAGACAAAGAATTGCTCGACAACCTCATCACTTAAAAGAATGAAATTGCGTACTTGACAGACCTGTATAAATCATTTAATGATGTCAATCTCCAACTTCAAGGTGACGTTTTGAATTTGATTAAAACAAAAAAATGTCATGGCTGCTGTTGTAGCCAAATTGCTCTTTATACAAGAATAATTCGCAATTTCCGTAATTTTTCAGCAGTATGCTTCAACAACGATGGCTTGCTTGTTTACTGCCAACATTTGGAGAACCTCCATAGTGATATCGCAGAACGATTCCAGGACATTTTAAAATTGGAAATACCGGACTGTGTGTTGGATCCTTTTTCAAATGTCAACACAGCAGGATCACCCCAGCTGGAAGAAGAACTGCTAGAACTGATAACGAACGAGGAAATGAAAATGAAATTAAGAAATAGATACCAAGAATTTTGGCTAGAAAAGCCAATCCCGCAATTGTACCCTGGATTGTGGCCCATCGTTCAACGATTTTTGATAGCATTCCCATCATCGTATCACAGCACTGAATCCACGTTCACACGAACGTGGATTTAGTGCTGTGGCAACGTTGTTAACTAAAAAGAGAAATCGGTTGCAGATAACGGAACGCTGTGACTTTTTGAGTAGGTAAATTCGAGCCTGATATTAACAAACTTGTTAAAAATCATCAAATTCATCCTGCACATTAGATTAGTTTTAAAATTCAATATGCTCGAACTCACAACCTCTTTGTTGAATGCACAATTTCTGTGACAATTGTCTAGCATAATAGGAGTAATAACAATACATGCATCTCATTTTTTTGTTTGAGATGGTCGATATCTGTACTCGGCGTTGAAAAAATGCATCCTTCATGTATCCCCAGACAAAAAATCCAAAGGAGTAAGATCTGGGGATCGAGCTGGCCAGTTAATTGGTCGATTGTTTCCAATCCATTTTCTTGGGAATGTTGCATCTGAATGTTTCCTTGTTATCACTGCATTATGGGGAGGAGCGCCATCTAAGTAGCCATCGAATTCATTGAATAGAAAATGGATATTCAAATGATCATCGTAAAAGAAGGGTCAAAGATGTTTGTTCCCACAATTCCCAACCAAACATTTATTCCGAACCTTTCTTGAAAATTGGTTTCCCTAAGTAAATGTTCATTTGTATTATTCCACCTATAATAGATATTTCTGTTAAACCAACCATTGTTGGTGAATTTTGATTCGTCCGTCCATATTATTTTTTTACAAATATTTCCAACTTCCCTATTTCTACGTCTTAACCACTTCGCAAATCGTACTCTCCTTCCGTAATCCCTTTCATTGAGGTGACGAACTTTGCGTATCCTGTAGCATTTATTTTAGTTCTTTTTCAAAATAATTCTGGTGGATTTTGCAGAAATCCCCATTTCGTGGTCAATTTCTAGTAAAGAACAATCTTGATAAGCATAACTTTTATAACTGGCCAATCCTGAATTAAAAGAAAAGAAGTTTTCACTGTGTAGATTTTTATGTGGTGATATTTGCTTACTTAATATTTATTTGATTCCTCACACTTTCAGTAACCACACATTTTCTTGTTTTCTTTCTGTCAAATGCACCATAGTTCCTCATATTTTTTTCTACTCGTCTAAACATTTGGATGTTCGGAATACGACGATTCGGGTACAGCTCAACATACATATTCCTTGTCAAAAGAGGATTTCTATTTGATTTTGCATAACTGAATAGCATATAAGTCATTGCATCATTTGAATACATCTTTGATATGTTCATGAACGTCTGACACTTCCCAACAGATATCAACAACACATTAACTTTTCCTGTCATAGAAACCAAACAAAGCCTATACGCGTTTAAGATGGTAAATGAATTTTGACCAAAAACTGATATTTTCGTTACTTCCAGGATTGAGAATTATAAAAATATTACGAATTATAATTGATTAGGGAGAAATAAGCCTTGAAAGAAGGATTACGGTTATACAAAAATTTACAAAACGAAACAGTACGAATTTTCATTGTTTAGGGTACCTACCTGTCGAATTCATTGGGTTGTCTGAATTATATTTTGAAGAAATCCAAACAATTTACAAAAGAAGTAACGATGGTACCGTAATTTGAAATTGTTGTCACTGATGATGGTAGTTATTTCAAATGAAACGCTATAAAAATATCAAATGTGATATACTCTTGGATTGTGAATTTATTGCCCTATCATTATCTGTAATAAAAAAGACAGGTCCGTATTGGAAAAAAAAGTTGATGATGGCCATGTTTACATGAAACCTTTTATCGAATATTTATTATTACATCGTCATAGTACATTTTGGCCTATAGGTGCGATTTGAATCATTGCACTTTTGTCAACGTAATAGAAGCCGATTAATTTCGCCAGCATAAACATTGTTTGCTCGAGATTCGATGAAGTCGACTAGGGCCGTCATTGGCCTTAATTGGCTGAGGTTCTACCGGTGAGAAATTTACCGAAGTGTTTGAAAAGATGGTATTCGATCGGCGATGTGTCTGTGGAGAATAGTGGATACGGCAGAACTTCGACGCTCAATTCGTTTTTTTTTCAGGACGTTGAGTTTTGAAACAAGCGAACGGGCGTTGTCGTGGAGCAGGATCGGAACTCATCCCTTGACCACTGTTGACTGCTGCTAACGCAATTTTCAGTACATTTAGTCGATTTTCTAACAATAAAACTCTGCTGTGACGGTTTGGTCCGGTTGCAGCCGTTGATCGCCACACAATAATCATGGTCTTTTTTTGGTCGGTTTTCGCATTTGGGAAGTGCCTGGGTGGCTAATCGGTGTTCAAACACTGTCTTGAATGTCTACTATTGTCGTAGAGGATCTATTTTTCATCACACGTGACGATCCGTTCCGAAAAAGTATCGTTTTGGTTGCGCAAAAGCAAAGAACATCTCGAAACGTAACAATTTCTGTCGATCGTTCAAATCGTGGAACACCTACTTTTCGGGCTCCTCCACTTTTATAATACGTTTCAAACCATCAAAAATCTTATGGGAGCTGTCGCCTAGTTATTCCACCATCCCACGCACCGTTTGTGACGGGTCAGCCTTAACCAGGGTCCTCAAATTCTCGTCCTGGATTACTGTAGGTCGACCACATCAAGATTTATTTTCGAAGCTGAAATTCTCGGATCAAAATATCGCAAATCAACGTCAAACAGTGCGTTGATTGACACTATCATTGCCAAATGCCTGGTTCTGCAGCGCTTTGGATCAATTGAAATTCGTAGGAGGAATTGGCCAAAAATCACTCAACA